AGAGGAAGACCACAGACCAGATGGATAGACTCAATCAGGGGGTTATGGAGAAGGGCTTGCAGGGTCTGGACAAGGCAGTGGAAGACAGGGATTCTTGGAGATGTCTCATCCACAGGGTCACCATGATTGGAACTGACTCAAGGGCAGCTAACAACAAGGGTCACTATAAGTCAGGAATGATTTGAAGGCCTACATCAACAAAATAATTTAGGATAATGCATAAATGTTGTCATCAACAGTTCCAGCCAGTTAGACAATAATGGTTTTAAAGACAATGGAACTTCCCTTTTGAGGGAGAGAAATAATCAAGCATTGATGTTGTTGTTGTTGTGTTATTGTCAAGTCGCTTCTGACATATGCCAACCCTATGGCAAGTTTCTTCAAAGGGGTTTATTACCCCAAGTCTTTCTAGGACCTCTCCCAACACCTAACTGAAATCTTAAATATCTCTCTCCTCACCCAGATAAACCAACAAGTGAACAAACTGCAGTCCACGTTGTTGTCATTGTGTTCCTTTCAAGTCCTTTCCGACTTATGGCAATCCTAAGGCAAACCTATCATGGGGGTTTCTTGGCAAGATTTATTCAGAGGGGATTTGCCATTGCCATCCTCTGAGGCTAAGAGACTGTGACTTTCCCAAGGTCACCCAATGGTTTTCCATGGCTGAGCTGGGATTTGAAGCCTGCTCTCCAGAGTCATAGTCGAACACTCAAACCATTACATCATGCTGGCAGTCCACCTACCCATAATTCACGAGAGCCCTGCTCTGCTTTCATTTGTGTTGCTGTCCACTGGAGGATTTTCATCTGCAACCAAAGAGGCAAATGTAGCCAAGAGTCTATTATGGGGAATTTTATTTAGCTCAAATCGAGAGGGGATCAGCTACAAGGATCCTGCGAGACCGTCTCCCACATGTATACCAAGAGTCCAGTATATCTAAGAATTGATGCAGAAACAGAATTCTCCAATTAAAGTATTATTTATTAAAGGGGAAAAATCACACAGCAATTCACAAACACACACACACTCATGCAAGGCTCAGGAAATCGGGTTAGCTTGGAATAGTTTTAGAGGCAGAACTACAGGTGATACTTACTACAGATGAAGCTTTCTCCAAGATCCAATTGGGTGAAGTGGAGGTGCCGGTAACTAGATCAGAGTACAAAGTGATGCAGGGTCCCCCTGAACTCCGACTAGCGACACTGAGGGGAGAAATCCGGGGGTTTTTAAGAAATAAAACTAGCCACAGGGCAAAGGTGTGAGACTGCCTGGGTGAGGTAATCGTCTGGCAATATTCAAAAGAAAATGGGAGAGGATTAAGTTGTTAGCTGGCCCATCAGGTGAGACATCTAGACCATTATTGCCCATCCTTCTGATTATGAAGGTGATGATGGTCCATTTGCAACTCCCACACTATCTGCCTGGCTCTGGGGATTGGGGATTTTCCAGCCTTCCAAGTGACCTGCGCATGACCTATTTGCCTTGCCATGGTGGCACGGAGTTCAATGCGGAGTGCATCTGGGGCCATGTGGAATTCATACACACACCAAAATTCAGAAAAATGCACTGTTGCTAACACTACCAAGACCACAAATGCACACATCAGAGGGGCATTCACACTGATTTTTTGTGCCAAGATGTGGATTGCCACATATCAGGATTGTTGTTCCCATTATGTTTTGGGTTCCCAAATCTCTCCCGAGTCATTTTAACCCTTGTGTTAAATGGGGTCACGGATCCTATTTATGCTTTTTTAAAAAATATATCTCGTTTCAACAATTTTTTCCCCAACATTTTTAACATTTATAGTCTCTCAAATGTTTCTTTTTCTTCTTTTGTTGTAGTTATACATTTTCTATATTGTCCTTCTTCCTTTCCTTTCCTTTCCTTTCCTTTCCTTTCCCCTTCCTTCCTTCCTTCCTTCCTTCCTTCCTTCCTTCCTTCTTCTTCTTCTTCCTCCACTTCTTTCTTCATATCTCATTTTCTTTTAGCTTCTAGGTCTAGTCTTTTTACCCTTACACTTTACATTTAATTCACACTTATTTGTTTACATCTTGCTTCCTCTCCGATACCTTTATGTCATTCACTTGATTTTATCAGGCTATGATTCATTGTAACTTCTATGTCCCATCTTTTGTTTCTATCTCTTACAACAGGGGTAGGCAACCTAAGGCCCGGGGGGCTGGATGCGGCCCCCTGAGGCCTTTGGACCAGCCCCAGGCTGGTCCTGCCACCGCCGCCCCCCGCCATTATGATATTGATTAATGTTGTTATTACATATTCTTGCGGTTTTCTTGGCAAAATCTCCACAGGGGTTTTGCCATGGTTTTTCTGGGGCTGAGAGAGTGTGCATGCATATTTTTTTTAATTTTTTAAAAAATATTTTTATTTTTATTTTTATTTATTTATTTTTGGTGCTTTGGCCCCTCAATTGTCTGAGGGACAGCAACCCAGCCCCCGGCTCAAAAAGGTTGCCTACCCCTGGCTTACAAGCCTTCCTTTTCTTTTCCTCTCTCTTTATATTCATCTTTACTTCTTATAATGACTGGGAGTTTCTCTGAGTTTTCGCCAAGGCCTGATGTGTCCAATTATGATTTCAGAAATCTGCTATCTGCTGCAAAGTAATACCAGATTGATTGAGAAAGCCAGGAAAGAGACAGTGGGAGTCCAGCTCTGGAACTCTATTCCAGCCTTTTCTAAAAAGCTTCACGGTTTGGTTTGGTTTTGAAACTTTGATAGGACTTTGGGGACCAGAAAAAGCGACCACCATAAAGCTTTAGTACAGATGGGCAAGTTAAAATACATTTAAATAGCCATACAGTGTGTGTATTGCATGCCTTCAAACCATTCCCAACTTAAGGCCACCCTAAAGCAACGCTATCATGGGTTTTCTTGGCAAGATTTGTTCAGAGGAGGTTTGCTATTGCCTTCTCTTGAGGCTGAGAGAGTGTGACTTGCCCAAAGTCACCCAGTAGGCTTCATGGTCCAGTGAGGCATCAAACCCTGGTTTCCAAAGTTGTAGTCCATTGCTCTCATATTTTTTTAAATCACTTGTTTATTACCTGTATTCAATTTTACATTTATTACTCTTACTGTAGTTTATTTGTATTTTACCTTAATTATATTGAATTGTGATGGCTAGTAGCTTTTAGCAATAAACAAAATTCTGAACTCAGAGCCCAAACCACTATATGCCATGGCATACAATACTATTCAGCAAAAGAGTGAGAAACTGAACTGTGGCATAATCCCAAGGAATGTGTTTTCAATCTCAAGTATTGCTGAGAAAAACTTTAAATTGTGTGTTTTTACATAGGACCTTATCACACGCAGGGCTCAAAACGACAAGAAAGCGATATAAGAATCAATCCAGTAACAAACCGGGAAAAA